CCCCCCCCCGCCCCAGCGTCGCCCACCCCTGTGCGTATGTGTATGCCCGCGTGGGTCTGCGTGCTGGCGTATGTACGTCCGTTGCTACCCCGCCTGAAGTATATTTCGCGTAGAGTGCGGGATGACGTGCCGGACTGGCGTTTGGAGTGTTTGTCGAAGGTTTTGGGAGAGGAGCATGAGGAGGACGACCTGGAGTTGTGGACGGAGTTGGCGGCGCAGACGTACGGGTTATTGGCGGCGGGTTCTTCGACTGCGGGTCCGTCTTCTTCCGCAAATGCGTCTGCGGGCGCGGGAGCCTCGTCCTCTTCGGCATCCGCCTCGGGCGGGGGGGCTGTGACTTGGCCGGCTCGGTCAAGCGTCTTGAGCAGTTATGTTCGGGCGGCAACGGAGCCGACGCCGGCGTCAACCAAGGCGGCGCGGGCAAGTCCAAAGAGCAAGAAGATGTTGGTTGACGAGAAGGCACGGGAGGTGCACAAAATGTCTCTGGCACGCTTCATTGCGGAAATGCCCGTCGGACTGCGACACTTGGCCGCGTCCGTACTCACTGATAGCAGCGAGGTGGTCCGGCTGTTGGGTGCACTGGAAAGTAAGTGGTGTCAGCAGATGGAACAGGCACCTGCCGAGTCGAGCAGTCGTACTCTCACCGTCACCGGTGCTCCCTCAGTTCAGTACCGCATGCTCTACATATCCGCAACCGCCGCCAAGCCGCAGTTCCGCCTCCCCGAGAACGTCGCAGACCTCTATTTGCAACGCGCCGAACACGCCTCCGGCGTCAGCTTCCCTGCCCGTGGTGTGGACGCCGTCATCCAAGTAGAGGTCGCCGAACCCTTCCCTGAAGCCGAAGTTGGCCCCGTACCCGGTACCGAAGCCCTCATGTTCGGCCTCACGGATGCCGTAACCACCTGGGTCCCGCGGCTCTGGCTTCAACAAGCTGCCGCACGCTGGCGACAGTGGCTGCGTCTGCGCGTCAACCTCGAACTGGACCGCGCACGCCTCGAAGCACATGTGCTGCTCCGCACACACCGCCGTCGCGGCGACACACATCTCGCACCCCTCTTGAACGGCGCCGCCGGAGGCGGCGCCGTCCCTGGCGGCCCGGGCGGATCTCGCCCGGGTTTGCGCTCACCCGCGTGCGGTGGTGAATGCTTGGCGGCGTTCGGGAGCCCGTGTGCGGTGTGTGCGTTCGACCGTTTCGCACTGCCGGGTGCGGAGGCTGACTGGCAGCAGCGTTTCAACCAGTGGTGGTTGGAGTGTGTCTTGCTCCCGCTCCCGCGTGTCTGGCGGCGTTACGCCATGCCGGCGGTGTACCGGTACCTCTCGAAGCCGAACGGTTCATCCGACTTCGTGGTCCCGCTGAACTGCCCACCGAGCAAGACCAAGGAGTGCGCGGCCGAAGCACAGTGTCCCTGTCTCGTGGTAGCCGGGGTGCCCACGCGCAGCAACTCTGACGCGCCCAGCCTGCTCGCTGAATTTGCCGGGCTCCTCGCTGCACTGACCAGCGTGGACGACGGCGCCAGCCCCATTCCCGAACCGCTTTGCTTCGTGGCGCCCTCGGCACTCGACGTGAATGGCCCGCTCTTTATCGCCCACAGGAAACTCGTCGAAGATCCGTTCGCGCGCCTCCTCGAACTACGCGCGAAAAGAAACCCCACCGTCAAACAGGCGGCCCGCAACATGTGGGAACGCTCGTCGCGTGCCGGCGTATGGAGCGACGCCCTTGGTGTCGCCGCCTTCCCGCCATTGGCGCCCAGCAAAGGGCCTCGCGCCAAAGCCGAAGGTCTCCGCAGCCGCTCCAGTCGTGACAACCTAGCTAAGGACGCCGCCAAGGGCGCCAAAAACTCGCGCACCAAACTTCAGGCCGGCGTCAGAGGCCGGGCCGGGGCCGGCGGCCCCGCCGCCGCGGCGGCGGCAGAGGAGGGCGTCGCCTTTGCGGCGGAAGAGGAGTTGTTCGAGACCGTGTTGGAGGTAAAGCAGTGCGAGAAGGCGGATGTGTTCATAACGTTATCGAACGCGAGTGTGTCGGCATTATTTATCGTGCTCTTCTTAGTGCGGTCGGCGTGCATGTTGGAGGTGGTGAAGTTATGGGAGAGTTGTCTGGAGGAGGGTGCTGTGACGCAGCAGGCGTTGGCGGCGTTGATAACTCGGAGATGGTGTAGTTTGGAATACGCTTCGTATGTCCGGTCGCAATCGCTGGAGGCGAGGGATTCGGACGAGGAGTCTAACTCGCAAGGTGATACAATAAACAATACACGCGATTTCCTAGCTGGTCGCGTCCTCGGCAAGATCCCGGATCATGTGTGTTACCCTGTGCACATTTGTCACCCTGATAAGAGTGACATATTGCGGGAACGTGAAGCGCTCAGTGAACGCGAACAACGCGACCGCGAGTATTTACAGGCGAGCATGAAGCAAGGTCACGGTGGCATCGCTGGGGCCAGTGCGTACATGACGGCGTTTCCGACTAGCCCGGTGGAGGAACCGACTATGGTCTCGCCGAACATTTGCCATGACGAAGACTGTTCCTTGTTTCCACACCCACCCGATTGTGCGTCCTGCAGCGAAATCGCAACCACTTGCTCCGGCTACGATGACTTGTTCCTACAAGCTGCCGCACCACTCGGACGAGGAATCGAGGTTTTGTGGGAACTCGCCACACAGATGCGAAACATCCGTCGTCTTCCTTACAGCGAAGCCGTAGGCCACTGCCATCTAGCTGCAGCCATCGCCTTCGAGATCTGGCACGACCTCGTCGAAATCGGGGGGCTCAAAGGACTCAAACTGATTGAAATTGGCGAACGAAGACTCTTCGGTCTCGCCATGGGCGATCTTGTCGGCGACCCGCACTATATTCATCGGTTCAAAAATAAATGGAACGAAACTATCGAACAAGGCGGCTCCTCTCCCACCCGATAACTCAACCGACAGGCAACTAAGCCCTATCGAGAGGAACCCTATCGAGAGGAACACTATCGAGAGGAACGCTATCGAGAGGAACTGCGCCCAATATTGCTGGTTGCCTTAACCCCTTAGAACACTGTTCCCTAGGACACTGCTCGCTAGAACAATACCTGCTGGAACACAGCGACTGACCGGGTGGCCGTAGCCGCCGAAACGCGACCCACCCTCACTGACCGTGTCATTCGTCTGTTGACTACATCAGTTGGCTGCGTCGGTAGACTGCTTCGTCTAGCGGGACGTCGCACAATGATCGTGGTCTCGTCGGGACCCCACGACGCTTGAAGATACGGCGCACTTGGTGATGTGGCGCTGCTTGAGCCGTTCATGGTTCAGCGGAACGGCTCGACTGACAGCGGACCGCTCCAGATCTGTCGCACACACGGTCGTGTGTGTGCACTTTGTACCCTTTCAGGTGAACCGTCCCGGTCACACCTTCTTGACCCAGTTCATGAGCGCGCAGAGGTCGTCTGCCACCAGTTGCGCAACCATGGGCGCGTCTGCCCTCATGCTGATGAGGATGCCGGGCGCGTCAGACTGGAAGGAGTACTCGCAGAGGATAAGAAGTTTATTGATGGTCACAGCCGACAGATACAGAGTAGACTAACAAGAGCGGCATATCCCCATGTTGGCACGCATATAAGCGTGCGAGTGATGTGTGGGCGTAAGTGCGAAGTGTGTGCACACACATCACGAGTGCGTGCCCACAGTCGGATGGGTCGCGGACCGGGGTGTGTCTTACGTGAGTGGGTGCTTCGCTTTTGGTGACGAGTCTAAGGAAGGCTTGGTCGAGGGAGGCAATGGCTTTTTGAACGTCGACTGGCGTGTTGCCTGCGTTGGAAGCGAAGAAGCTGAGTTGTCTCGTTTCTCCCATACGCGTCCAGTGTTTCTTGTAGGTGTCCTTGGGTACGGCTCGTCGGTCGGTAAGGAGGTGTAGGACGGAGTAGGGGATGGGTACGGAGCAAAGGTTGCCGATGTGTGCGGTAAGGGTGAGGGGCGGGATGGGCGGTTCGCCTGAGTAGTTGTCGAGTTCCTCTAACCGTAGCGAGTGTGTTCGGCTATCGGCAGCGACCACGGCACCCTGGGCGACCTGCAGACCGAAGGAGTTCTTGTCGATCGTCACAGACCAACTGGGGCTAGGAGCGCCTTCGTCTGTCCCAGCTCCTTCAGCGGGCGCAACACACAGATTCACGCGCCGGTCGTCTGCACTCAGTCGAGCCACGTTGCCCCGGATCGTATACTGACCATCGCCGTACAACACCTGAGGCTCATCACCCGGGACGCCTTCCAACAAATCTCTCCCCGAATGAGTGTCCGCCCGGATGTTATGCTCCGGTCCATCCAAATAATTCGGCAGACTACCGCCGGTATCACTTCCACGCGCCTCTCCGGTCTCCGGTCGTTCGCCAGTGTCGTGTCTGCGCACGGAACCGCGACCGCTGATGACCTCCCTGTTCTCGTCATCGTCGCTATCTTCCAGGACCGTGGCGCCGCGCATGGCATCTTTGTCGCGAATTTTGGCCACGAAAGTTTCGGGGTAGTCATGCAGGACCGAAGCTGTGTTGCCGATGTTGGCAATCAGACAGTCCACTAACTCCGAAGGCATGTGCAGAAACTCTGTGCTGATCGGCGGCTTTGGTCGACAAATAACCTCTTTGGCGAAGGTCTGGTCGCCGTCCAATAACTGTGTGTAGAACGCCACGCGTTCCAACAGGACTACGCTTTTGCAACCCACCTTGTACGCACTCTGGGGCGCATTCTGGCTCGCATTCTTGTACGCACTCCGGACCGCCGCACCCCCGGCTCGAATCCCGATTTTGCCGCCGTCGCTCAGTTCTGTCACGCAGTTGTTGAACAAAGCGCGCTTTCTCAGTTTCACCGCCACGGCCGCTGTCGCTCTCAAAAGTTGGATTTGGACCTCTTCTGACTCCGAGGCACATGACTGAATGTGCGCTTCCAAAGCCGGCAAACACTCCGGCACAGACTCGCAAAATTCTCCCAAAATCCAGATCGTCGCTTGCTTCGCCGAATCACAGTCCACGTGCTCCGCTGCAGCCACGATAGCGGGCACCGCAGCGGTATGATGACCAGGAAACCTTCGCAGAATGTCGCTCATAACCACCACGACTTCGTCGACGACTGCAGCCATGTCTAGCGCATTCATGAGCGCAACCACAATGCTGTTGCAATGCGACGGGAGCAGCAGGGCGGCCCTGCCTAGTGCGCGCACACTCCGTCGAACAAAATCGAGATCAGCCTCCAAAGAGTACTCTATCAACTCGTTAATTATGTGCTGGACGGCCTTAGGGTCAGTATTGGCTATTGCACATGCCGTCATCATTTCCAGCTTCTCGTATTTAATATAAGGAGGATCATTAAACTTTACGTAGAAAGCGCGAAAATCGTTTGCAAACGAATTTTGGGGGAATTTCGTTTGAATGATTCTTATGTTTCGGAGGATGCTGTAAGCAATTTCGGGGGTTTCCGACGCTAACAGAGATGTGAGAGCGGGCACGATTCTTTTTTCCAGGGTATTTTGAAGCATGACTTCGTTATTATCCAACTCTAAAATCAACTTGATAATTAATCTCACTGCAGCTAGAACGACCGCCGCGTTGTTGTGTGTCAATCGACTTGTGAGTTTATCTATCATGATTTCTCGGGTTTGATTTGTGGGTGGGTTATAGCAAGTAGAAATAGCGTCTAGGACAATAACTTGTCCCCATTCCCCGCATTCCGACAACGAGCTTATCAGGCGTTGGACTGTTCTGGTGTCCAGAACAAGTGGATCTCCAGGTTGCGCAATCTCCTGTAGAGTGGCTAGTATATTGACGATGACTAAATGACTGGTCTCTTGTTGCAGCATATTTTTAAGCATGTGTACAAGACCATTGTCAAGGCACATTTGGGGATTGGTATCGTAAACTTTGCCGACAGAAATGACAGCGCACTTGCGGACGTAGGGATCGGGGTCTTGGCATAATTTTTGGAGAGGGTCTATAACATATTCCACACACGTGTGCAGCTTGATACAGCCGAGTGTCCGGATGGCCAATGCTCTAACTATTGGGTTTTGGTCCTGGCAGTCCTTGCGGAAGGTATTGATGGCGAGCACAGCCAAGTCCGGTCGAATGCGGGCAAAGTTGATCAAGTAAAGATAAACCAACTTCTTAAGCTCCACGTTGGTAGTTTGGATGCAGTTTACGACTTCTGTGAACAGACTGGACACGTCTTTGCCCAGCGTCATGCTGGCAATCACCTTCTTAAGCGCAGTCTTCTTCTTTTCCTTGCTCTGACTCGTGAGTTGCGCCCTCAGCTCGCTAATCTCGCTCCGTTTCGAACTTGCAATAATATACGCATCTGTATTGGTCTGCAACTTGCCCGTGGCCAGCACGGACGTCAGCTGGTTGGATACCTGCTGCAGGGCTGAGGTAAAGGACATAATATTTGTAAGTAATAATGAAGGGCCAAGACTCTATCTTGGTGGACGGGTTCTTGAACGCTCTGCACGCGGGCGTGCCTCTCTCCGAGGCCGTAGCTTCGCTCACCAAAGCAGTTCAATTGGTTGACACGAACAAAATGAAACCAACATCGCCGCGTACCCTACCCCATCCATCAGCTGTCCACCACCTGCAAGGCACCTATTTCATCACCTGTCCACTACCTGCAAGGCACCTACCTATTCCCGACCTACCCACCACCTGTTCACGTACCCTATCTGCGACACGGTTGCAGTGGCAGAGGAGGAGTTTGCGGCGGATGCGCGGGGTGGTGACTTGACGAAGTCGGTCTCGAGCAAGTTGCGGTACCTCATGACGACGGAGAGGTTGTTTACGCCGGCGGACCTGGTACAAGAGACGCAGACGCCGCCGGCGGTCTGTCGGTCGCGAGATTTGAACCCGGGCAAGGTGAAGACGCGGCAGTCATTGCCACACGGACTCGACTCCGAACGCACGGAAGAGTTCCCAGCGCCGGAACCTGCCCAGCTTTCGGACGATGCGAGCAGCGCCGGCTGTCCCCTCCCTTACGGCGCCCAGTTCCGCGCGGAACTTACTCCGCAGGACTACGAAAGGCTTTGCACCGACCCCCCCACTAGCTCCGTCTATGACCCCCGCCTCATCCTCTCTCTCCTCGACTACCACCCCCACCCCCAACTGGGAGTGCCCCTCGGGGCACCACACTCCCAACTGGGGGCGTCCTACTCCCAACTGGGCACACCGCACCCTTTGGAGCTCCAGTACCCCCGCGGTGACGACGAAGAACGGATAGACCAGTATCGCGACGATAACGACCCCGGCTACCGCATTCGCGTGCTCTGGGAACACGAACTATTGGCAGAAATAGACGCACGTGCCCGACACGCACCAGAAGCACTCGACATCGCATACTACCCTGTGTTCGACGTCAACCTCGCACGAATGTATGCTGCCACGCTGAAAGATCTTAGTGCAGCACGCGATGTGGCGGCGCGTGAAGTAGCGGCACGGGACATGGCTGCGCGGGAGATTGCCGCACGCGAAATTGCCGCACGCGAAATGGCTGCGCGTGAAGCGGAGCCACCGCCGCCGCCAGCGCCGGTGACCAACACTCCGCCGCCGAGTCGTGCGGCATCGACCGAGGGTCGTTTGCCAGAACTTTCGGATGCTTTCCACATGCCCAGTATTCAGCACCTGCTGCCGGACGCGGCCACGACAACGCAACCTGGTGGCCATCCCACCCACGTCGTCCACGCCGGCCTCTCGAGCCACAGCACCACTCACAGCGCCAGCCGCAGCACCGGCGGCGCATCCACCGGTGCACATCTGGTCACCTCGGTCGCGGCCATAGCTTCGATTCCCGCCAGCGGCTCGATCGCAGGCGTCGGGTCGATCGCGGCCGTCAGCTCGGTAACAAGTCACTCCGTGGCAAGTCACCCGGTAACAAGCGGGTCTCTGCCGGTGCAGAACAGTCCGGGCGGTGGGGCCGTGGCTGTACGTGGGTTCTCGGCAGGCACGAGTCAGACAGGCGCGAGTCAGACAGGCGCGAGTCAGGCGGGAACGAGCTTGGCACGCGGGAGCCAGACGCCGTCGGGTGTGGTGGAGCCGAGTGACGACGAGTTGTTGTCGGCGATGACTGTCTCTCCTCCGCCAGGGGGCGAGTCAGCACGCGCCTCGCTGGAGGTGGCCTACCCCGTCACCCAGTCCGGTGAGGAGGGTCGCCGTCGTTGTTCCTCGCCAGTCTTCGGGGGCTCTAGCTCGCCCTCTTTTGGACCGCAGGAAGACGGACTCGAACTGGCCCCCGATTACCGGCCCGCTGCGCCAGACTTCGGGACTGCCCCAGAGTTCACGAACCCTGTCGCGGACTTCGCTCCGGCGCCCGAGTTCGTGGCCCCGGAGTTCGCGGTGACGGACGAGGCCGCCGCCGGAACCACCCTTCTCACTGCCGGCGGTATGTCGGTCGGTCTAACTCCGACCGGGTTTACGCCGAACGGGATGACGCCTGTGGGGATGATTCCGGTGGGGTTGACGCCCACTGGTCTAATGCCGGCAGGCTTACTGCCGGCGGGGTCGGCAGAAGACCTTCGGGAGGGTCGCTTGACCGTGGGCCGGAGTATGGAGGTGCTGGCGGCGAGCCGGGGGAGTGCGGAGGGGCCGGAGTTCTTGCGCGAAGGCAGGAGCATGGAGGTGGTGTGTGGCGTAGATGCATCGGGGACAGGAAGCACTAGCGTGGAGGCGCCGTTCCGTCACTTGGCTAAGTCGGTGACGGGTGTGGCGTCCGGAGCAGTGGGCTTTCTGCCAGCGGGAAACATTTCGGCCGGGAGTCTGGCCCCGCCGGCGGGACTGACGGCGGGAGTGCAACTACCGAGTCCAGTGGCCTCACTGGGCGCAGTGCCGGCACAGGGTTCGGTGTCTGTGATCCCGGGTTCGATTCCGCTTCTTGGTCCGGGTTCGATGGCGGCCGGTTCCGTGCCCGCGGGTGCGATGTCGGCGGGAGGGATGTATGCGACGGGGGAGGCGCTGCAGTGGGAGGACGAGTACGGCGATCCGGCTCGTCTGCGTCGTCGGAAGCGGCGCAGCCGCGGCCGCCATCACTACGCGTCCTCGGATGATGGTGTCTACCCCCTGGTGCGGAACAGTGCGGTAATTGACTCGTTTAATTTGAAAGTGATCTTTGAGCGAGACCGGACGGGCTTTGTGGAGCAGACAAGGTACGACTACGACACGGTTATCGCGGGTCGTTACCGTGTATTAGGACTCATTGGACAGGCAGCATTTAGTTGCGTCTACAAATGTTTGGACGAGTTAACGAGCCGTGAGGTCTCGCTTAAGATGATTAAGAACGACAAAGACTTTTTCGACCAATCTCTGGACGAGATAAAGTTACTAAGGTATATATATACGAATGCAGGGGATATAGACTCTAAACGCTGTTTAAAGCTGCTTGATTATTTCTACTATGATGAGCACCTCTTCATCGTAACTGAACTGCTTGGAGAAAATTTGTACGTCTTCTCGTCTCGATTACGAAAGTGCGGGTGTGGCTCTTACTTTACTCTTGGATGTTTGCAAAAGATCACACACCAAGTACTTATTGCACTACAGTATGTGCATTCTTTACGTTTAATACATTCGGACTTGAAACCAGAGAACATCCTGGTTCAAGACCAGACTCTGCCTTTGGTGAAGATTATTGATTTTGGATCATCTTGCTATGAATATGATAAACTTTCAAGCTATATTCAATCCAGGGCTTATCGGGCTCCGGAAGTTATTCTTGGGCTATCCTACGACCACAAGATCGATATGTGGAGTCTAGGTTGTGTCATTGCTGAGCTTTGGACGAATTTTGTCCTCTTTCAAAACGATTCGATACATGCACTCCTTGCACGTATCGTAGGCATCATAGGACCCATACCCTACTACATGGCGGCGAAATCATCTGTCGCCAATACCCTCTTTACCAGCGATGGACAACTATGTATGCTACTTGAACCCCGCAGCCACCACTCAGATGCCACCTCACACCCAGCATCGACCGATAGTGGCGCCGGCAGAAAGGTACGGCTACTCCTCCCCAAACGCAGTTCTTTGAGCCAGCGCCTCCGGTGTGAAGATCCCCTCTTCGTTGACTTTGTTTCCAAGCTTCTACTCATCGACCCTTGCCTACGAATGGACAGCGTACAGGCACTGAGCCATCCGTGGATGAAACCGGGCCTCTACTCGGACGGTTTGCGGTAACACAATCGCAGACCAGAAGCACTCCCCACACGTGGCTTGGGCCACGCGTGGCTCGGCCCATCTGTGGCTTCGGGGTCACTCCTGGCTCGTCTGGAGGATTCCGTTCCGTGGCCGACGTTGCACGGGTTCTGACGAACTTCGTGCTGGAACGGTCGTCGAAACGGAGCAAAAGTGGTGTGCACAAGGAAGAGTAGTCTTGTGCACACGCGTGTGCACACGCGTGTGCACACGCGCGTGCCGAAGGAGCAATGGGGTCGGGGTGCAGCCGACGGGTGCAACCAATCAGTCGATGAGGTTGCGCCTTTTGACACTGGGTGCTGTAGTAGTCCAAAGCAGACAAGTGAAGTATCTATCTGGCTCGGCCGCGGTATCCCTCAGCTCGCGATACAGCCAAGACCTGCGGGAGCGGTATGAACAAGCCAAGAGCGAGGCTCATGACGTGATGACGTCCCCCGCTTTGCTTATGCAAGGGGGGGAACTAGTATGCCAGAACTACGGATATAAGGAGGAGTCTTTGATGGAGATCGCGTCTCTGAAATACACGAAACGGTTAGAGACACCTCCAGAAGCAGGTGGGGGAGATACGGATAAAGGCGGTTACTATGTCGCTCAAAAGTATAAAGGGAAAGACGACGTAGCTGCAAAGTTCTCTCGACCGCGCCCGCTCCCTTCAGAGGGTATAAAAGCGGTCATTGAGCTGGACAGATCGGACGCTCTGATTTGGACTATGCAGTACGTTCTGGGGCTGTTCAAATGGCGCCAGGCGGAGCTGAGTCATAAACATCTTCCTATTTCGGTCTCCAGCGCCTACGACAGATTGTTTTATAATACCATCGATCCGCTCCAATGCAGACTGACCGACGAACAATACAGTTCTCGAAGTCAAGTCGGCATCCGCGCATACACAATAAATCACATCGCCGATATGCACACACTAGCTATTCCGTATGGTGAGAACCCAACCAGATTTAAACCATTGTTTCCTTGGGTCCCCACTGTCCCTGGGTCCCCACTGTCCCTGGGTCCCCACTGTCCTTGGGTCCCCACCGTCCCTGGGTCCCCACTGTCCTTGGGTCCCCACATTCCCTGGGTCTCCACTGTCCCTGGGTCCCTAGAGGTCCCGGGGTCTCCACATTCCCTGGGTCTCCACCGTCTCCAGGTCCCTAGAGGTCCCGATCCGGGTCCAAAGCCTGGCTGCGAAAAGTGTGTCTTCGTAGTGTGTTCACAAGGGCGGATGATTGGTTACATCCCTTCGAAGGGTTCTTCGTTATTCTGGGAGTTCTTGTTCAATTCGGTGGAGCAGTCTAGAACTATATCCGCTGATGAGATTTGGCCGGAGCTGGAAGTAATGCACCGATTTGTGAGTGACTGTGTACCATCGCCAGACTTGGGACGGACGGACGAGAACTTAGGTGGTGATCAGAACGCAAGGGATTTGGCCATGGTGGAATTTGTGGTGCCTAAAATCTGGTCGAATGAGTATGTATCTATAGCTCGGTTGGCAATGATGCCGCACAGGAACACAGCAGCGGATATGTTCGCCCGAATGCTTTCCGTTTTGTGGGAACAGAAGGGGGCGGCACCTGCACAGGGTATGTCCCCGATGGGTGTCCCTGCGAAGTGGAATTTGGCACAGCTGAATTTGGCTATGAAGTTTGCCAAAACGCTCCGAAGAGTCTCATTTGATAATTCAACACTGCAACAAAGAACTTCCACCTGGATAGAAACACTTGGTGCATTGAAACAGAGGGGGATACCAGGGGTGGCAGGAACGGGAATAACACTCGACCCAACCAGCATGCAACCCCATATCCCGAAAGAGGGACCAATCAAGGTACCTTTATCTGATTCATTTGTTCAGGCCATAATAAGTGTGTGGAATGACCGAAGAGTGACGTCGATCAAGACTGATAATGAGTCGGGGGATAATGAATCGAATGGTCTGGAATCTGTAGAACCGCCGCGACCGGATGAAGTTCGTGAAATGTTCGGTAACTTCTTGCTGCATCCCGGCTCCTTACTACATTGGCTGTCAATGGACGGAAAAGATTTCCGTGCGGCTGCCATGCTCCACTTCTGGAACATCTCTCCATCACTGGCCTGTGAAGCGCTCGCCATCAGACTTAAAAAGTCCCGCGGGAATACATCCGGACTCTGGTGTTCTTCTCCCATTTCATTCAACCAGAGTGGAGGAGAGGCACACAGAGCGTTCCTCCTCCGAAACAATGGCGTCTACCATACCGTCATGGCGGCTCACCAACAATTTCTCATGAACGCCCGAAAGAGTATGGAAATAGATGACTTGGTTAAGGAATTCCAACACTTAATTTCAAAACTAAGGAGAGTAGGGCACTCACCCACTTCCGGAGTCGATGTACCTGACGCTGTTGCAGAACAGCCGATAGGTCCTGAGTCTATGTTGTACCTTGTGGAAATGGACGGCATAATTCAACAGGCTGATCTTTTGGGAGCTCGAATAGGCTTAGTAACTGATCCAACGACTTTCGGTTCACTCAAATCGGAGATGGACGACGCCATATCCTATTTGCTGGGTAAGATTGCTGCTAATCAGGCTGCAACCGAGATCAATGCTCGAAGTTGCGCGGACATGCTCAGCACATGGCTCAATGACCGGAAGAATTGCGCGAACATGGATCAAAACAATGAAGTCAAAGATTTCGAAAACACGTGCGAAAAATTATATCGTATGCAAATTATAGCTGAAGACGCAGCGAAAGCTGTCAGTAACCTTTCCGATGGTGTTACCGGGTTATTTCCGACTGCGGCCAAACCTTTGACTCCAGAAGTGTACAGTGAATTAACGCTCCTACAAAACGATTTGACGTCTTGGGCTTTGCCTTTCGGGGCTCGGTTCGTCGCTGCTTGGTCGGAATCCATGCTCGCATGGAAATCGGCTTATGATCAGGTCTTGAACTCTCAGAGTCCAGATATTTTAGCCGAACATGATGACCTTCGTGATGTGCTAAAGCTCTCGTTTATTAACGAGGACATGGCGCGTCTAATTTCTTCTACACCTCAAACCTCACAAGAATCATCGCAAGACGCGTCGGTGGACGAGGTAGACTCGACCACAACTATACACACTTTGGTAAAAGAGGATGTGAAGAAGGCTATGGATCGATGTGTAAATTGGCGGATTCCTTCAGTTATTTGCGATGCCGGGGAGAGTGCTAAAGACAATTTGGAGCTGTATAGAAAGTTGCTCGCTTATAAAGTCTATGTTCCGACTGAGAACGAGTGGCGTGTATTGTTTGGCACGCTTGATGGATGGAAAGAGTATGGCGAGGCTTATTCCGCGCTTTTAAAGCTCCTGGAAAGTCACATAGAACTACAGCAGCTGGTAATTGGATTGCCTGCCAGTACTGATTGGAGCGCTTTCTTGGAGTGGGCGGAGAAAAAAAGTAAAATTGAGTCTTCAGAAGTTAAGCTGGACTGTGACCCGCTGAAACGCCTTGAGGATGAGGTGACCAATAAATATCCGTTGTCGGATATCTTGAGTGCAATTCCCGTGTTGGAAGAGCTGGTCTCCAACGGTCTGGGTGATCAGAACGGGAAGGACTTCACTGTTGATCCAAGAATAGCTGATTTGCCGATAATCAATATTATAGATGGATCTAAAGAGCTATTTGCCGCTGAAGTGGATCGGTTGCTCGACGCCTACAACACCGACCCTATCGAGGGCATACCACAGATCCAGGCGTTTGCCGATTTGCTATCACAAACCAAGACGCTCAAACTCCCTCCTGAGCTGGCAGAGATTTTGGGGCAGAATTTATCCGATGAGACGGCCAAGGAAATTGCTCGTCTCGGAAAAGAACTTGAAAACCTGCAGGACAACATTGACTATGAACCGCAATTGGAGCCGCCTGAATTGGCGGTCATCGATTCCTCTGTAGCTGAATACCAGCGTGCATATGAGAACTTAAAACAGCTCATGGGTACCGCGGCGGACTACAAGAAGGCAATATTAGAACCTTGCAACACAGACCTACTGCAAGAGGGACCTGCATCCGTTGATCTGATTGAGGGTAAATTAGATCAATTCGATTTCCCCATTCAGCACATGTGGGGCAAACACAAGTGGAAACGTCTCATGGATTGCGCCAAAAACAGGAACCCCATTCTGTGCAAGGAAGCCATTGATGATCTATTGAACGACCCCTTATGGGCTGCTCAACTGGATGATGGATCCAAGACCTTCTTGCAGGACGTAGGAACAACGATGGGAGTCCTAGCTAATTCGAACCCAAATGAACCAATTACGGAAGCAGGACTTGAACCATTGAACCAAATCTTCTCAGATTGGTCTCCAGATGTAGCAGAGGCGTATTTGACACCGCTGGATATAAAAGCCCCCGAATTTAAGGCCCTGAACATGGAAGATGAGGCGGGTACAACAATGCTCAAAGATCTCGTCAAGCATACGCGACTTCGTGCCAAATTAAATCACAGTCTCCGAGAAGGTAGCTCGGACGTACCGGAAGGTGATATCAGAGCCAACATTGGCGTAACAGTCGAGGCTCAGGACAGTGGTTCCCTTGTTAAAAATCTGGATGACTTTATCGACCAAAAAGTATACAGTGAGACCGGCGAGACTGATATCAACAAGGCGATACTCGGATATAAAGGAATGAAACAACGAGCCCGGCAGCTTCAAACAGCGTCCGGCGATTCGACTCCAGCCATGGCCATCACCAAGCTGCTTGATGACTATCGAGATCTGGCTGTTATTCCAGATTCCTTTGCTTCCGACGTTGAAAATGCTTTCGGGCAACTTGCTTCTGAAATTGACCTTGATCCCGCAGTTGCACAACGCATACTCGTCCAGGCCAGTGGTCAGGCCGGTGGTCAGACCGGTGGTCAGGCCGGTGGTCAGGCTGGTGGTCAGGCCGGTGGCGAATTAGCTGAGGGAGGAACATTGGACTTGGCTAGCCTTGATGGAGATGGTCAGTTGCTTAGTAATTGGGCGGACTTTATTAAGGAAGGTGATGCTGTCGCCCAGTTGGCTGCCTGCGTGAAGAAATACAACGAGCTAGTGCACCTGGATCCGCAACTGCGTCTCAAGGCGTTGGATGAGTCACCAACGATTTCGAACAAGTGCGTTGAGTATCGTGGCGGACCGGGTGGTTCAGAAATTGTAAAGGCGAGCAAGAGTCATTGTACGGGTGATCTGCTTAGTTTATGGATATCGCAAGCAACTGATCAGATCGATCGAAAGTATAACTTAGCGCAGTTGTTGAAAAACGCATTGGGACCTCTGAGTCAGACTAACTGGTCAGTTTTGCAGCCATTTGAAGACGCTATGAAGTCCGGGGAAGACACGGCGTTGGAAGGACTGGCGCAAAGGTACCCTCAACAGGATTGGACTCCAGATTTAGTGAATTTGTTGAAGAAAGCAGTGGAGCTGAAGCATGCCCAAGAAGAGTCGAATACTCCAGAAGCATACCAGACGGTGAAGGCTCAGGTCCTAGGGCTGCAGACGGACTTGGGTGCCTCTTTCCTGGCCGACGAAGGAGGGGACAGCGACTGGGCTAAGGAGCTGGACGCAGCTATTTTGGGGAAGCAAGAGCTCCTGTCGGAGTGCAGCCAGTTGGCGAAGAACTACGTGAGAATTGACGACCATTCCGACCGGCAGTTGCTGATCATGCTCGAGGACATGTCGTGTCCGGAAGAGTTGATTGCGAAGTGGGGCCAGCCTGCACAGCAAGAGGCCAATGAGTTGGCCAGCCTCAGCGGACGGCTTGGCGAGCTGCAGCGGGTAGAGTGCGAGGGGCTGGAGAGTGTGCACCACGCACTGGCTGAGGTGGAGGCCATGGATGTGAGCGCTTTAGTCGCTGCGGCACACAGCCAAGAAGCAGCAGACACGGAGTCCGCTGCGACGGTGAGAGAGCAGCTGAAGTTGGCGTTGCTGGAGAAGCACAGCAAACTCCTCACGTACCTGCGGGACTGCTTGATGAACCTCTACTTCAACACACCGCTTGCAGACCTGCCCACAGTCACTAGTTTAAGTCATGTAACCCCCAAGATAGAAGAGCTCGCTAAAGACGAGCCCGAGGCTGGCATGGCTGATGCAAAGAAGAAGCTTTTGGATACCTGTGACGACGTCGTCCTCACCAGTGCCGACTTGGATAGCCTGCAGTCGCAACGAGGCCATCCGGATAAATGGATCGAACCCGATGAACTGAGAGTGACCCCCTTGTCGCTATCAAAAAAAGCTCCGCTCGCTGCGGCATCAGTGGAGGGGTCCGAGGTCATTAAAGAACTGGACAGCGAAGCCCCTGATGTCGGAGATCTGGAGGCGGCGGAAGTGCCTATCTTGGGCCAGCTGGATGGTGGGTTGTTGTCGATGTTGTGTAATCTAGAGGCAGCCGGTGTAACGTTGGACGGGGCTGTTCCTGAGGCCTTGGACCGAATTGTGAGGATCAATGGCGACCGACTGAATGGTCAGTTGCCGGCCACCTGGGGTGCTGTTATGGACAGTTTGGGTCATGAACCCGAGATTCAGATGGCAGACCAGTATCGACAGGATCTAGAAGCCCAAGCAGCACAGTGCCAGGACGGCGGCAGCAACTGGACAAAGGAGGAAATAACCAGCCTAGTGGCGCACCTGATCGCCAAACGAACTGCTGTCCCAGATTGGAAGGACAGATCCCTATTGCCTTACTTTGCGGAAGCCGAGCAGCGGTTACTGAACTGTCTGGAAGCCCAGTTGCTTAACCTCAACTTCAATTTGCCCGAGGACTTTATTATGTTCCAACAAGCTGTAGAGAGCTGGGGACAGACTATTCTCAATCCCGACTACGCAGTGACAGGTGCTACCATCTTCGTTGACAATCTGAAGTCTAGCTTTGAGCGAGCGCAAGTGGAGGACGAAACATTCAACACAGCCGTGAGCACTCTTCTTCAGGTCCAGAGTGGTGAGGACCTAAACACGCCCTGGCAGACTATTGTGGACCATGTGGCTGTGAACGGACCTGTCCATGACGAGAACCAACTCATTTCCCTAGGCCACGTCACATCGGAAGATATCCTTTCTCATGGTCCCATGATCCTCAGGGTTCTGCCGGAAATCTTGGACAATAGCTACGATCCTACTCTTGCCACTATGAAGAAATGGGTCGTTACCTCTCCCTTGGTTGTGAAAGCCGCGGAAAATTTGCTGGATCTGGCTCCCTTGGAGGGCGACTTGGCTGAATACGGGAAGCTGATCCAGCGATGCTTGGAGCTGGGTGTCTCAGATTGGGAGGGACTGGGTAAGGTATCTGCTGTGACTCCGCCGACCACCGACATGGCTACTTCGATGGGCAATTGTATTTGGCAGCACCTAGTTAGTTGGCCCATAGGAAATGACGTGGACCGATTTAACGGTTTGCCGGCTAGTGTTTATGAAAGGGTTAAAGACCTTACGGAATTCCCCGATTTCACTAAAGGGGCGATTGCTGCGGGTCGTGACCTACATTTGGCGGCCGCAACGTCGCCTCCGCTTCTAAATCTCTATAACAACGCAGAGTGCTCTGTCGCCACGTTCTCTCTTGGAATGCTAACGCAGGCCACAACTGATGAAGAGAGAGTCGCGCTCGGAAGGTGTCTTGATCAACTTGCAGATATGGCAGCGGGGAGTTTGGTCGTCAACAGGTCGGACACCGCCACGGAAGTGCCGCCGGATACCGCTCTGTTGAGTGATGAAGACCATGTCCAGTTCGTCGGATATCTCAAACAGCTATATAAGTTGGTTGTTAGCGATGACCTCCGCGAATCAGCGCTCAAGGTCGCCAATGCCAGCGATGATTGGGAGGAAATTCTTGACTATCTCAACAAGAACAACGTAATGAATGAGGAAGAAGGTCAGTCCTTGCTGGGCGATATTATCGCCAACGTTCAGCGCCTCAAGGAAGAAGCGAGCACACCCGTGTGTGCGTCCGAATCTCCTGATGAGTTCATTTCTAACGTTCAAAATTTGACTTCCAAGATAGACGAGCTGAAGATCATACAAAAAGATCATCCTCAACATGTTCAGAAACTCTTTAATGGCTGGACTAACAATTGCTTTGACTATTTGCTCAACAGGTATCCCTTAGTTGTATCCGAGACGTCTGGGGGCGAGGCGTCGGGAGGCATTGATTTGGTATCCGCGCATCAAGCTGTCATGGATCTGGTCGCAGGAGTCGGGAAGGATTTTGCGGAGCTGTGCAGTGACTCTGAATTGCTAAACAAGACTCTGCCTGAACAAGTTGACGGCGCCCTACAAGGCTGGGAGTATCGTATATCGGAGGATCCTTTACAGATGGCGATTATCAATAAGTTCAGGAACTGGCAGCTGGGAGTACGAGAAGAAGGAGACACCGCCAAGTTTACCACGGCTTCTGCGATCCACACCTTCTATTCTTCAGATGTCCTGTTTAGTAATTTAGCGGCGGGAAGCTTGCGCCCGTTGATGGTTCCCGAACTGTTCAGCGGCTTAATCGAAAAGGAGATGAAGCGTCTGGTGTTCGAGTTACCTCTAGACGTAATCCTCAGCAAGATGCTCGGCGATCCCTCGGTATCCCCCGCTCAGTTGGTACAAGAGCAAGGTGACTATTTCGGCGGCGACGTGAAGGACTACATATCGGGGTTGCAACCCGTTTGGACGGAGCTGGTGGACAAGAGTAAAGGCTTGGTGGAAAGCTGCGAAGCTACCTCGCTTAACGCTGGCTTTTTGGACGTTGAGCCGTACCAGAATGTGGTGCAGAATTTCCCCTCGTTTGCCAGTGTGACAAATGGCATAGACCCGGCCACGTACCCTTCGAGCTGGAGGAACCTCTACACTCAACTGAGGTCACGCTGGGCGGATTGTTTGCTAACTCTACTACGGACTGGCAAGATTGAAACAACGGATGGCATTGGTGTATACGATCAAGTTGACAAAATGGTATCCGACCGTCTGAAGTTACTGGATGACGAGGAGTCCAGCTTCTCGCCGTTGATGCCTTCCTACATGGAGCTTCTCCGGTGGATCGAGCAAGAAGTGCGCCAGAAAGCGGATGTTCTTCATTCACTAAACCCGAACAGTGACCGGAAGATCTACAAGGCTCTGGTAGCCTACATGGCTGAGGGATGTCGATTGCCGGACGGTGGCTTGAGTGTAAGCGACATGTTGGCTATGGACACGGCTCAGCTTGTTGAAAACCCTGCAGTAGCCTGTCTTGGACGATTCAGCGAGGACACTATGCAGGGTGTTATTTCTCCACCTTTGAAGTTACCCGAACTGAGTATTGTTGTGGACATTGACAAGTGGAACCAGAGCATTTGCGAGGCCAGTAAAAGTCTGGACGGGCAAGGTATGCAGGTACTATTGGAATTTGCTAAGTGGCACGCAGACAATCTGCCAGATGTGGGTGCGGAGTCGATTTTGACAGAGGAATCAAAGAAGTGTTACGAAACGATATACTATAACGATTTGATCGGGGATTTGACGGATCCGGATCTGTTGTTGATTGAGGATGCGGCTCTCAGTCAAGTGGGGTACGAAGTTCAGGAACCGGCTGAGGAGATCCGTCGGGCTGTTGCGGAGCGTATACGAACAGCACCCTTGGCCACGACAAACGAGGACTGCGACAAGGTACTGAGCTGGAACAGACTGACCCAACATAGTCAGTGCATTTCCGGGCGGGACCCACGATTGCTCTTTGGCATCTTGAAGGACATTCAGGATGCAAACCGTCTCTGGGAGGAACGTGAGGCATTGTTTACAAAGCTGAAGAGCATGTATGACCTGGACATGAGCACCATTGAGAACGACATTCTACCCATCATTTACCAACAATTGTTGGCGTGCGTCAATATCGACTGTGATGGTGCCGAGCTTCTTATCCAGGCACTTCAGGAAGCTTTGAACCTGATCATGCAAATGACCCCTCCTGCTGACCTGCTGTGTGCACCCAGCAGGCTCCAGACCGGAGTGGAACTGAGTGCACCAGAACGGGAAGATCGAGACCCCTTCTTCCCACTCTTGCTAGGTGGATTTAATAGTGAAGTCAGCTTCGCAAAGGCTCTCGACGACTACTACCACCGATCTGCCAAATAAGCAGGCTCGCCAACTTCGTCTGTGGGCCATTCGGGCGGACAGGTGGTAGGTAGTTGCAACACGCTTTTTCTATATTTTTTTCTATTAGCAAACACCGTGCCTGACAGCAAACGCCGTGCCTATTTCAGAACACCGTATCTACTTGCGTGGTGTCTGTGTCTTCACGAAGGAGTCATTTCTGGAATACAGCAAAACCAGCCACAACGATAGAGAGCCAGACTAAGAAGGCTGCGAAGTTGAAAACACTAACGAGGAGAAGGCTGTTGCTTCCCTGACCTTGCGTCAGATAATCCCTCCGCAGTTTGTCGCGAACGTGGTCCTCCAAAGGACCTCCCCGCACGAATGCATGAACCATTCCCGCTTTCTTCAAACAAACGTCGTCACTGACGTTGTCCATGGTTAGGTCGGTGTTAATATCCCAGCAACTGCTCGCCTTTTCTAGTTCCTTGATCTTGACAAACCGTTTGTCACAACCTAGAGCAATATTAACTTTCGACGGATCGCCGACTTTCGACGAATCACCAGCACTCGCGTCGACCCTCTCCTCTAGCCGCCCTTCATAAACACCGTCTTCTAGGGGAAGTTTGAACAAGGGGTGTTCCGTGAAGCTTGAAATCTCGTGAATGTAAATCCACCCAGTGTCTCTAGCACGACCAAAACTCTGTTTCGACATGACCTGGCATAATTGCTTCTACAATACAGCACCATGTTAACTTGGGGGCAGCGACTTGTTGTCGGCGATTTATAGTCCGTTGCTTGGATAGGTTGTCGGCTTGAATGTGCGATTGGCTTGAATGTGTGGCTGGATTGAATGAGTGACTGGACTGGACATGATGTTGGATTGAAGAGAATGTATTTCTAACAAGTTCCTAGCCCGGTGAATGTTTACTGAGAAGCGGGAACAGTTAAGGCATGTGGCAATGCAGTTAATATTTTGACAATCAAAACTTAAACTCATTTCAGATTTCTTAGACGGAAGGCTGATTACAACATCCTTGCTAATGGAGCTGTCTGTCTGTAATATTTAAAGATCTGAAGCGGTGCAGCTTACATTTAGACTTCTTAAAGACAATCCTGGGATAGAATTGAGTCACATTTGATGATATTGAATCACCTCCACTACCGGCAACTTCGTAATCCGGTTGCAATCGAATCTTAACCAAATGACTCTGAGGCATCACTTCCGCAGGATCCGGATTCATTTGCTGACCCCATTCCTTGTCAAATTCAGCCGAAACAAGTACAGGACCGGAGACCGAAGGAGGCAAGTGCAGTATTACATTATATCCTAAAATTTAGATAGATAATTAGTGTGTGCACACACATGGCAACTTCATATATTAATTCGTACTTTGGAAGTTCGTCATTTTCAGCCCTCCAAAAGAAGAGCATAAATTCAGATAATGATTGTTATCCCTGTACAGCAGGTCTATTCCAACATAAACATTAATATTTCTGACCGATTGACATCCCGTGAAATAAAGATTGAGAAATAGTAAGGTGTTTTCTTGTTCTTCGCCAGCAGTTATAATTTCGAATGAGTTATTTAGATCTTGTCTAAGGGCCTTCAATAAATCCTGTATATCACCATTACCGATGACTGGTGAATTGATTCGCATTTCCTTTGTCGGTGAATTGGTCCGACCTAGATTAATAATGTTATATGACATGGCAACCTCAGGTTCTACCATTTCAATTAAGCGCAAACACATTCTAATATTACGTGGGATATGTCCTGAATAGGCTGTGAGGTAATTCACATCCACCCGGTCGCCATACGTCTGGGGTTGTGGAGCTTTATCATCATCAGTTTCCACGAGGAAGAAAGGAAAGCGGAGATGTTTATCATATCCTTGTTGTTTGCAAGATATAATCTCCCCACCTGATCGAGCCATAGAATCTTCCCAGCCTCCGCCATATGCCCAGTCTTCAACACTTCCGTTCACAGGATAGACCAAATCATTTGTTGGAGCGATGGGATAAAAGTACGCGTAATTCGGATTTGGATCAACGGAGAAAAGATGCGGTTTATACGCCATCAGAACATCTGTAGGTACCCGTTGTGTGGCGTCCTTTGCTTGGAGTAAACTAAGCAATTCCGAGTCTCTATGCCTGATGTCTGATAGAGGAATTATGCCTGCTGCTTCCTGTAACTCTTTGGCTATAAACCTTTGCATGGCATCGTCTGGGGATTCTGTACTTCTCTTCTTCAATCGATCCAAATGGTTAGGACCACCCCAGTTATATGTCAGAGATCTCATACCTCCATGAAACGTTATTCCAGCTACATACAGTTTACTCATAATCACTTGATATAGTATTTGTCCCGAAACTGATTTTGGACATCCCGGATTGAGATAAGGGAAATCTCGATTTGGATCCACTCTTACCCGAGGAGCATCCCGCTTCCGTTCTGACTCTCCATTCCCCAATCTCTTCTTGCCTTTTCGTAGAGCATCGAGACGCTGAATGAATCCACCCTGACTACCCTCTGTCCCCAAAGCCTTCCCTCCAAAGAAAGGAGCCTGCTGCGGGGACGTTGCGCGTGGTTCAACGGCAACAGCTAGTGGCTGACTCAAGTCTCTCCATGGTTGACTTAAGTTTTTGGGTGGCAGTCTCAAGCTTTTTGGAGAGCTCTTCCATTTGTGATCCGCCTCCTGATCGGCCTCCTGTCTGCGATCATCCTCCTGTCTGCGATCAGCCTCCTGTCTGCGATCCTGCTCAGAGGTTGACATTGACCCAGAGCCTGAGAATAAGGTCCTAGTTGGTCCTGTCGATCTTGTTTCCTCCACTTTTCTAATTGCTGCAAGCTGCCGAACGGGAAGTCGATGGGTCGGAACTTTGTTGGTTTCCGCGCTAAATTGGAGCGAAGAAGCCCCTGCCAGGGAAGAGACACCTACCCGGGAAGGTTGCATGGCTTTCTCGGTTTGGTAGTCATGCCGGTGGTTGAAGACGAAGCCATCGAGGTTCGCGAAAGGGAGCAAGTGCACTTCTCTCCTCGCCAGAAGCCATTGTACGTAGGTGTTGTTCTTGCGATACTCTTGGGTCAGGTATTCCGCCAAGTACAGCGTGATCGCGCTGCCTAGTCGCTCATCACCGTGGACTGTGCCGGAAAAGAGCACAGCGGGGGAGTTCTTGCTCGCCGTCAACTTGACCAACGGGTTAATCGAACACAAGTGCTGTATGAAACACTGTGACCTACTCTGCGCCAGCGGGCTAACGTCTTCGAGCGTCAGCACATCCCCACCCAACTCCAACTGTCTCAGCATGCTCATCGATTCATTGTAATTCAAGGCACTGTACAACCGACCCTCACCTACACCTAACAACGCAAGAGCTCTCAGCCCAAGAGCCTTCATCTACCGTGAAAAAAGGCTCGCTCCAACCCGAAACACCTTGCAATAGGCCAAACACAAAATACCGAATTCGGAACAATCCCGAACGAACCATTCTGGACGGACCATCACGGGCGTGCAAGCAGTCTGGGCACGATCGGACGCTGGGCGGAGCTGTTGGTTATTTGCCCGTTTCAAGGGAGCGCCTGAGATGCACACGTGTGTGTTTTTTTATTCTAACCGGTCAGAAGCTGTTAAAGCTAGCGAAGCCATTAAAAAATTAGGTGCTGTGGTACAGGAGATCGCCTCGGGACCTTTTTAGGGAGCCCCAAAGCACCACAAGCTCTCTTATATATTCCGCTATGTGTTAGGGGCTGTGGTTGTGGTTGCGGCAGTGGTTGCGGGTAGCAAACAGAGTCTGGGCGACTGGTTGCGTTTGCCGTACAGAGGTTCGATGCTTTAGGAGCGGCGTTGTTTGGAGGAGAATATTTCGATGCGTGTGTTGAGTAAGGCAGGATCTAGGTGCCTCAATCTGTTTGATGGTGGTCTCTACGGCGTGTACTAAGGTCTTCAACGTTTGGGCTACCTTGGACGCGAGTTGTTTTTTGTCAGCGATCCGGGCGAGTCTTTTGAGCTACGAGTGGAAGACAACGGCCGTTCCGCAAAAGGATGGGAAGTGGAGGAGGTGATGAGGAGGGATACGGCAGCGTTCACAGCCTCCAACTCGTGGGTGTTATCGACAGTCTTGCCGCCGGTCGCAGACATGTGAATAATTCCCTCACATTCCTCTCAGACCACACACGACCCACAACCATCTGCACAGTCGAGGGGCCAGTCAGGGCAACCGATGATCTAGATGCTAGACTCTCGGTAAAGTACGAGTCGGATGAAGAAGCCAAGGCCGAGGCCAGTTCGCTCTCCACCGGACTGTCAAGCGTCAGCTTCATGTCCTGCAACGCCTTCGGAATGACTGCTTTATTGCCTCACAGACGCCGCAGAACCAATTTGGTATCCACCACGTCCTCTGCGTCGTACTCCATCCAACCACTCATCTTCGTCCACCGCCACTTCCCGGTATACTATATTCCTCCGCAACCTGCTTCAGGTCTCGGCCAACCTTCTCGGGCGGCCGCTTACTGCGATTCTTTAGCTTCCAGGACTTGAGCGGAACCCGATGCCCCATTTTTTTCCCCGCTCCCGGGTCCCACAGCGAAACCCGCCATAAATTCTAGCAGCTGCCTGCCACGGGTCAATGGCCTTGCAATCAACAGTGCTGGAGTGGTGTGTTGTGGTAATCTGTTGTCGGATCCAGTACTCGGCTTGCTTTACTCAACGACCGCTTTACGTAACCGCAAAAATCTCCACTTGGCCCCCACCTGAATGGGAACTCTCCAAACCCTCCTCGTTCGAGGCTCCCTCAACTTCAGACTGTCCGAATAGGTTGACGCGAGAACACTCACTTCGGTCGGCGGAGGCTCCGATGTGCCCGTAGACCACACCCATTCCGTTTCGCATTTCCGTAACCAGTGTTTCCTGCGTTCATCCAAGCTGCGGTGTGCCCCCACACTTGTGTGTGCCCCCACACTTGTGTGTGCGTCATCGACAAAGTCCAGCTGGGACAGGAATCCGTGAACTAACGGTAGGAGTAAACGTTGCAGGTCACAACATCGTGCCAAGCAGTTCACAGCGGACCGGTACAAAGCCCCCCAAGGCGCTGTGGAGCAGTCATCTTCTTTCAACAATGTACTAGAACTGTGGAGTCGGACTTTGATCCATGGCGAGTAGGCTCTCATGATCTCTAAGCCGTCAAACAACGTCTGCAACCTGCGGGATGAACAACCTTCCAGCCCCGCAGCTTCGCTTGGGAACTGTGTCAGGTCGAGCTCCGTGTCGCCCACGGCCACATAGAACGCTATGGCTAATGAAACCGAAGCCTGGCCCCGAGACATAGCCACCCAGGATCTCATATACCGAAAATTGAGGCTCAGAAAAAGCTCCCCCAGTAACTGACGGACCTCGCCGGCTGTGCGTGCCGCAACGACGTCAAACAAGCCTCGATTCCTGGAATTGAACCTCCTACACCTTGGTCAAATTTTAATGGACGTGACAACCCCGATCTACCGAGTCACCAAAACATAGCGCCCGAGTGATTTTCTTTCACGCCCCGCCTGTTTCCTCGCGGATAAAACTGGGTCGCGAGTTCTGAAAGAACGGACGGCACGAAGCGGGAAGGAAAACTTAGGGGTCATGGTGTGGAGGCAAGCCGTGGGTCGAGTTGAGGATCGTTTGCAAAAGACAGGGGCCGCTCGGCTGGTGTTCCTATTGGGTGGTGGTCCCGGAAGCGGCAAAACCACGTTGGCAGAGGCGGTAGTCGAGCAACTGAATTCTAAACGTAAGACTGCGATAACGGCGTCTCGTTACCGGGAGGATGGTGGTTCGACACCGAAAGGTCGCCAGTTCGGCACCGAGAGGCGAGTCACCGTGGGCCGACAGGGGCGAATCCCTTTGGACTGATGGATGTATGTATAGATGGTGCTGGCTATGCTGTGGTGGTTGGAATGGATGGGTACCATATTCCCCGAGCTTGTCTGAGTGGGGAAGAACTTAGACGACGAGGGGCCCCGTGGACAATCGATGGTGTTGGTTTTGTGGAGGCGGTGAAGTCGTTGAAAAGGGCATGGCGTGAAGAGCAAGACTTGTGGTTGCCCATGTTCGACCACTCTACGAAGGACCCCGTCAAACGAAGTGTGTGTGTTCCAAAAACCGCGCAAGTCGTAGTGGTGGAGGGGCTTTACGTTCTGCTCTCTACAGCCCCCTGGAACCAAGTCAGAACGTATGCTGATGAAGCTTGGTACCTTCCAGTCGATGACCAAGTCGCGAAGGAACGACTAGCCAAGAGGCATTTTAGGGCCGGCATCGTTTCTTCTTTGGAAGAGGGACGGATCCAAACCGAGTTGAATGACGAGAAGAATGCCCGAATAATCAGAGGACAATTGAATACGGAAGATGTCATCTTCCTGAATCCAATCTAATCCGAGCGCATCACAGTTTAAAGGAAACGAGCGGCTCAACGTCTCTTGAAGCCCTTGTAAGTTCTCTCCTGGCCCGCTTGACAGAATGGTTTTGAACGGAACTTATAGCAGCATCCAGTGTGGCTTTCACCAACGTGTTCAACTCCTTGCATTGATCCCGAACAGACCGAAGGTTATCCAAAACCGAGTCTACGGCCAGCAAAGCAGCTTTTTGACTCGACTCCTTTGATTCCGTGTCCAGCTGCGTTAAAGTGATAAGTAGCCAGCTTAAACACTCGGGAGAATATGGGTTCTGTATAACTGTCCCAACAAGGACTTGAAGGAAAGTTAACAATGTCGATTCAGACATGAGCTTAACAATATTGGTCATATCTAGAACCAATGTAATTAAAGAAGAAGAAGAAGCATGTACTTATAGGTCACACACGTGTCATACCACACACGTGTCATACCACACACGTGTCATACCACACACGTGTCATACCACACACGTGTCATACCACACACGTGTCATACCGTTCTGATTATATGTATCATTATTAAGTAACTCCCGCACGAATATGTCGTCCTTGGCATCTACTGCCTTTAGCAAGGTTTCTACCAGAGACCCTGTGAGCATTGCAATAATAATTCGGCCCGCATTTTACCGACGGTTTGTTACGACCAGCGGTGGAATTTCTGGACTGGAATTCTGGCAGTCTGGACCGAGCAGTAAAAGGTAGAAACGATTGAGTGTCCTCTTCGATCATTTCTTGATACCATTCAATACTAGGTAGGCGTCTCCTTTTGCTTGTTGTGATTTGAGAGCTCGTAATGTGGGCATTACTTCTTCTGGAGCTTTTGTCTTCAGTTCCCGTTCTCGTCCCATTTTGAGCAGCTTCTTCTCCACTTTCCGTTTCCCGGGACCTTTTCCGTGGAAACGGTAGCTGATGAGTCTGAACGCATCTTTGGGTCCTACTACTTTGCCCCATGGGTCAAAATAGTCGAGCTTTATGTCGCCCTTGCCAGTGCTCTTGTGCAATGGTATGTAACCCTCCTTGTTGACATGGCGACCAATATCCTCCTGTAGGTTGCCTGTGTCCTTTAAGTACTTAAGAGTTTGCGAAAGGCCCCCAGTCAAGCTTTCTTGCTCCATCACCGCGTCCAGGTGGGGCGGCTCTACCGCTTCAGTCGCTGGGTTGGCTGAGACGTTAGCTACGCCGCGACGCTGGCTCTTTGTCTCCTCCAGACGCTCAAGAGGCGTTTGGACACTCTTAACAAACTCGCGCGTTTTGGTCATCAAAATTCCCTCACCGGCTCCAACTTGGCCGCCAGCCTTCGATTCCTCCTTGACCCCAGCCACATCCTCCTTGACCCCGCTCGCATCCTCCTTGACCCCGCTCGCATCCTCCTTGACCCCGCTCGCATCCTCCTTGACCCCGCTTGCATCCTCCTTGACCCCGCTCGCATCCTCCTTCAAGTCTCTTTCCGTAATGCAAGTGGGCACAACGATTTCTTTCTTCACCAATGACCGCGAATCCTTGATTAAGTCCAGCAGCTGGTCAACCCCCGCTTCGGCCTCATCCGCACCCACAAAAGACCAACTCTGCGGCTTCACGAACGCCGTAACCTGACTAGGCGCCGTAACCTGACTAGGCGCCGACAGCTGGCTAGGCGCCGACAGCTCGTCAGGCACGTTCTCCGAACCGTTCGCGAAGACTTCCGACCAATCAATAGCTGCCGAACGACGTGCAGATTTTCGGTGCTTGAACCCGGTCTTTTTCACCACCCGATCCCCTCCTTTCCTTTTTGCTATATGGTCCAGAGATCGCTCCTTCTTCACAGGCAAAGCCCGAACCGTTATGGCTACAAACACAACATTGTTCAATTTATGTTGTTAGTAATGTGTGTTGAACCTGAAACGTTGCGGGGGACATGGGCGAAATCTTACGTTTAAGAATTTCTTCGTCGTTTTCAAATCTCTCGCCCTGTGGTCCGGCGCCCGAGACGTAATCCCGAATCCGTTCTCGTTCCTCAGCGTAGCCAGCAAACTTTTGCACTTCCGCTAGCCGCGCATCTTGGATGGTGAGTTCACCATTCTCGAGTACATGGCTGTCTGCAAGCGTCAATGTAATCTCTTCCCCCTCCTTTATAGGCAAGTCATGCTTAATTACAAACGACATTGCTTCTTCCTCCCGCACCGTGGCTTCATTCTCCCGCACCGTGGCTTCATTCTTCGGTATGCGCACTCTTTTACCCCGCGCTCCTCCCTCGCTCTGGTGTCCATGTTCCTCCTTCTGGCCCACGCCCTCGGATTGGCTGGGGGGTAAGAGCGGCAGCCCGAGCTTAGCCCTCAGCTCATTAGTATCCTTTTCATTCAGGCTTATATCATGGCTCATATAAACAATATTTTATCTACCCATCTCCGGCCGCGCCCAATTTACGGTCATGCCCAAGATAACTTGTTTTCGTCCTCACCCTGTGACTTGTTTTCGTCCCATGACTAACACCTTCACTCTGTGCCCACACACACCTTATGACTGACACCCTCACTCTACGACTGACGCCTTTACTCAGTCCTGTTTGGTCGCGACTTCCAGTCTAGTATCAGAGACAAGCTGTCTGCGGTAGAGGTTCGGTGTTGTGACAAAACAGTATAAACAGTTTACTTCTACTTCTGTCATGCGTCCTTTCTTTGTCTTGACTTCCTTTTGTATAGCTAGCTACGATGAAAATGTCGTTCCCCGCCTCCTTCAAGAAGACGACACTACGGGGATCGTCGAAGAAGCCCATAATATTTTGAACGAACAAGCGAATGCAGTGCAGGACCAGCCAGTGGCGACTATCAACCTACCGACGATTGCCACAAACGGATTGAGCAACATCACCGCTTTCTCGAACTCGGTGAGTAACCAGCTGCA